CGAAGAAGAGAGATACAGAGGACAAAATGCGTAAGAAAACCTTATAGAGCAGGAAATAAGCTCTCTCTAGGGCTCGACAGGGAATTCTTGTATAAAAGCATCCTTTGGTCTAGCCTGGGATCTTGAGCGAAATGAACCGAGTCATTTTCAGAGCAGCAGTTTTGCTGCTGTTGGCAGGAATAGGTCAGCCCTTGGCCTCCTGCTGCTTCTGGCTCGATTTTTCAGAAGTTACCTACGAACGTGCTGTAGCTTACAAAAAACCTCACCCCCCCAAAACACTTCATCACCCAGTTCTTGGTTATAATTGAACTGATTTATATTTAACTTGGTTATATCAGCCATGCAAAGCCTAATATTTTTATTCTGTTTTTACAGTTGTATCCACGAATAAAACCTAGACAGCGAACCCTTGCCTGAATTCAGTTGTACAACAGTGCAATACCGTGCTGGTAACTGGAAACTTAAAACATACACTGGAGCCATCATTTTTGATCATTTCACACAGAGAAATAAAACTATGATATTTAGTTTTAATGGTGCTTTCTCTTGTTAAATGGACAGCATCCACGATTTGCAAGATCTGCAGTTTGTAAATGAGGATTGTTTTTACGTGACCCGCCACTGATGAGGAGAGCGATACCTCCACTATCATCTACAGTGTTGCGCCAACTATCGTCTAAAGCAGTGTTTTAAGTTAAAGTTCCGTGGTAGGAGCTTTCTTGTGTTAAATGTTCAGAGGTGTCACTTGCGGAGTGCAGATACGCTGTCCACTTTGCTCCAAACCCACAGTAACTGTCCCACATCGGGATTTGGGATATTTTGTTCGATACCAGTGAATGTTGAGTTCTCATTACTGATCAACTCTTTGGGTTCTAGGACACAAGGTCTTCACCTATTACCTGCATCATTAAGTAGTCACCAAAGCTTTATGAAGGCTAGGATTTTAAGCGGTAACATGCTACACGCTTAAATCCTAGCCTAGACAACCCCAACAAAAGCTTTACATAGTCTAGCATCTAGTATTACTTGCGTTTAGCATCAAGCTAGGGAACTAACTGAACAGCAGTATTTGTACACTTCTCAAACCCCCTACACAGTATTCACTTGGTGTTTTATTTTCTTATTATTCAGCCTACAGCACGTGTTACCTCTACTAATGTAAAGGTTCCCCACTAACCACCGGAGCTTGTCCATCCTGGACAAAACGGTTAGTACCGAACGTGCAGCAGCTTAAGGGATTTGTACGTCTGCATGGATGAAAGTGCAATAGTTGAAAAGGGTAAGAGTCCAGTAAGGGTTATACTGTGTAATTTGAAGTCTGTGCCTGAGTCCGTCTAGAAGAAAATATGAAGGACTGGATAGAAGTAGAGAGAGGGTCGTGTAGATGCTAAGTCAAGGGCAAGAAAGAAACAAGGTTTAGAGAAGGATTTAAGAAAGGCAGTAGCTGATTTGAGGACAGTTTTTGTGGTTCTTGGCAGCCTACAGCTGTTGCCAAGGCAAGTTATGCAATAACCTATTCCACTACATTGCCGTTTCAAGGAGAAGAAAAAAAAAGGCACTTCACTGGAATTTTAATTGTACATGATTTTATATACCAAAAGTCTATTTTGAATTTCCCATTATAAGTTTTAGCCATATTTCTTGTCATTTTCTCCCATTTAACAGTATGCAATTTGATTAATTCTTCATGTACAAGTTCTGTGTATAATTTATATATCCATTTCTGCAGTGCTGTAACTTGCTTTTACCACAGGTTAGCATTAACTGTATATATTGTGGTGAAAAGTGAAAGGGTATTATTGTTGAAGAATTTGCTACATGAATGTGATGATTTCAAGAGCCTATGATGATACACTAATTCAGAGAACATGTAAATGTGCACAATAAAGTACTGCTAAGGCATGGCTGCATTCTCCAGTATTTTTATATAGGTAGCCACAGCAGACATGCCTTTAGTCATAGTCGTGTTCTATCTGTTAACTCAAGTTTCCTCGTTGTTTTACCAGCTGCACAGAAAAAGACTTGCCAAACAATTCTGGAACCCCCTTACGCTAGTACTCCAACTGTGACAAATTAATACTTGTCTAGAAAAAGCTCTCAAGGGTCCTTTACAGGCAAGCTGACACCTGAGCCTCGTGTGCTTGTTTACTCAGTCTTTACCAGCGTAGGAGGACGGAGGGCAGAAAGACACTTGGCTCAGCACGTGTAGCCGGAGGATTCATCCCAATAGGTGAAGCAATTATTGACACTCAGAAGTAAAATTAGGGTGCTGTTCATAAAAAGTCAGAAGCTTCGGAGTTCAGAGAGTAGAGACCACAGTATCCATCATTAAAGAAGTTATATATTGTGAAATTAAGTATCACCTCTTTTTTTAAATAAGTGAATTAATTTATTCATATTTGTACATTAAATTGTATACAATTTCAGATAGCATTACAGTTAGATTAACAAAAGCTAGTTACCAAAAAAAATACAAAACTAAAAGTTATTCTGGAAGCTTATTTATTACAGAAGGAAAGTTTTGAGATCATGTTCATGTAAGTCCAATCTGGTGATATTTGGTAAAGTAATTAAATGTTTAAAAAAAAATCAAGTGACTTCTATAAAAGCATATCTAAGGCAGATTTTATTGTACATTGATTTTAAACATTTGGATAGAGGGAAAAACCTGAGATCTATACCCAAAAGCTATTCTCTGCAGAAGAGACAAACACATTTGTTTGCTTTTTGTAGCAAACAGTATATATAATTGTTACTATAAAAGTTGTGCTGTACATTAGCTGTAGTGCAGGTCACTTTCATATTAAGTGCCAATAAAGGCTTAACAAAATATACAAAGTCTTAAAAGGTGAGGCTGTTTAAAGCATTAATTGTATACATATTGCACACTATAGTGAATACTCATGGTTCAAAAAAATACTCGCGTTGCATTTGCCAGTTCTTACATAAATGAACCACACTGGAATGAGAAAGGGTCAAGAACAGCAAAAAGCGAGAGGCGGGTCCATGGCGGCTGGTGTCTTCCCTCAAGTGGCCAACAGTTTGCTGTTCTTACTGGTCCCGGGACTCATAAAGGAGTTTTGTTGCCTAACGTGAAGACAAAACGTCATTGCGTTAACTCAAGTTTCACTTGGAGCCACCTCATCTCCTTCCTACCCCTCCAAAAATTTCCTTTAAACCCAAGGCTTTAAGTTCTCCCTCTGCTATTTTCCTTAGTCTAAGGCATTTAACAGCATTCAGAATTTTTTGAAACTATCCAAGGTTACTTTAAGTGCAGAACCTGAGGGCGCTGAAGATTTGAGATCAACTTACTTACATTTGTTTCTTCTTGGTCAGAAATGACCATTTCTGATCAAAACTGCCTTTCGAAAGAGTTAGAAGTAGTATTTCTGAGGCTTTGGTAATCTGTCTAAACATACGCAGCAAGCAATGTTACTCTGTTCTATATTCCTCCTACCTCTTCTGCTTCCCCCTTGCGGAGTTTTGAGAGAAATGGAACACCTCCCCAAACTACAGCATCAGCCAGCCAACCCCCTGCGATGGGAACAGACGTGCATTCTCTAGCAACAAGTCCTTTCACATCCTGTTAACGGGGACCTCTGGAAGTCTCACTGTGCTGATCAGTTACGCAAGTCCGAGCTACCCAAAACTCCTGTCAGAGGAGACAAATCAGTGGGGGGAGGGCGTTACGCTTATCCATAAACTGCTGGTTCTCACCATAGTTGTAGGAGTTGCATCGCTTGGGAAAGATGAATTGGGACAGCAAGTGCTAAATCGTACTCGTGTGGCAATACGAAGTTTGAGTGGGCTGTGCTGAACACAAATGCTGGGGTTAGGGGTGGCTGGGGGGCTTAACGACGGTGATAAACAACCACCACAGCCACACACTTCCATTTGCACTCAGCTTATAAGTTACAGCTCTAATTATCAATCAGACAAACAAAGTTCCGGAACGAGTTGGGGTGGTTTTGGTTTTTGTCTCACATAACTTTGACTTATGAAGTAAGACTTCAGTTTCGTTAGCCATACAGTGCCTAACAACAAAAGATGGAGCAGCCTTCCACAGGGTCCAGCGCCCACCCCGTTCCTGTTTCCAAAAATCAACAACTTCTTTAAACCTTCATAAAGTAGTAAAAACAATTAGCTGAGTTTAGGTTCCAAAGAGTATTTCATAATGCACATTCTTCAGTGAGTAACAAAATCCTAAGGAACCCGAAAGGCTAATTCCTACTTCTTCTCACCTAACGACATACATAAGACCTTGGAAACCCTTTGTAGTGCATATCTTCTTCGGGTATCTGAGCATAGAGCTAGTCATGTTCCTAACAACCACCCATAGCTTCTGTTTTCTTAAGCAACAAGGCCCTAAAATCCTTAAACAGAAAACAATAATAAAAAGAAAACAAAAGACTCCAAGGCTGCGTACTCTCTTAAGTGCTACTAAGCACCCCACGGTAAGATTTTCTTCGGCTTTTTAAGTTTTGCCTCCTTTGCTTACCTTATGCATAGCTGCCAGCCAGCTTGCTGACAGCTTCTTGTTACAGCTGAAGTCTTCACTGGCTGTAAATTTCATCTGCGTTAGCTCCTCTGATCCTGGTACCTTATACTGCAGAATCATACCTACGGCACGAGTGTTACCTCCTGAAAAAAGAAAGACACTCTTGAACAGCAACAGGTTTTACCAACTAAGTAACACAACCTCTTCTAGCGAATAAGCATGTTTGAAGAAACTATCTCATTGCTTAATTCAAAGCACTAGCAACTGCAGGTGCACTAACAACTGCCGCACCAGAGGAGGCAGTGACCGCGGGTGTTAACGCCGGGCAATGGAATGTGCAGGCTCAGTATTGTTTAATTCTCTCTGGCCATCACTGAGGCAGAACCTGGATAAGCCATCCGGTAAAGCCACTAGCTACACACGCTAAGAATACCCTCCTGGTTTCATATTGCCGTGTCTTCTCTTAAGTAGATGCCACAGTTTCACACTGTAGCCTGCAGTTTGTAAACTGAATTACTAGTGTCCAGTTAGACTGATACCAAAGAGGGGATCCTTGCTCGAGCCGAAGGCTGGCACAGCAGTCACAAGTCCCGCCAAATCTGGCAAAGGGGGGAGGGTGGGAAAGGTGCTTATGCAAGACTAGATGACGACTGGCAACGTCGTTTGCTTCCCGAGGGAAATCCGCTACAAAAGACATTGCTCTGACAACACTGTGATAGCGAGATGGTTGTATCTCTTTTACTCTAGCTGCACAGAGATTAAGCTAAACCACAGCAAAAATACAGAAATGAAACAAAAGCTTTGTTTAGAACAGCACACTGATGCTTTACGCAGACTTCACTGGCATTGCTTATTTCCTGAAGTAGCAGAGCAGAAACTAAGCCCCGGGAGCAGCTCCACCACAGAGAGGAGGACACGTTTTGCCAACTGTCTGCATGAGAGGGCTCTTGGAGGCCATTACTGCAACATCCAAGAAGCCAAAGACAGACAATCTCGCTCTAAGCGACCTGATCAAGAGCCTGCAAACAGTGTTTATAAAAATAGCTATTATCTCCTCTTCTAGGATAAATTGAAATCCAACTTCTTCATCACTCGCTCCCCTGCATCTACCTGGTCAGACTAACACATTGAAGCCCTACTTAAGAGATAAACCAGAGGAAATCAAACACCTACGGCCTTGACCAGTTTCATTTATTCACATTGCCCGTGTCCGGCGTTCCAGGACATTACTGACTCAGGCAGAACACACCTTACACAACAAGACGTCGTATTAATTTTAACGAAGCGTAAAAGCAAGCCATTAATTATCAGTTTGTTTATTCACTGCAAAACCTTACTGGACGGTACACAAGTAGTGTATTATTCATTTCTGGTATACACAACTCCGCACACCTCTGCTGAAGTAGGTGACGTGTAATACTGTGTACCACTAAAGATACTATTTCTCATCTTCCCTTTTCTCTTCCAGCGTGGACAACAGCATATGTGGTCTAAAGGCGGCCTCAAATGTTTTAGTTCTCCTCCAAAAAGTTACAAAACATTCATTCAGTTTATTAAACAGACAGATGGGAAGGAACAAATACATGTCAGATTTGAACATAACTTGTCTTCAGTTGAACAGCTATAGATCAAGCAAAAAAACAGCACTGCAGAGGAAGAAGGATGGGAGGGGGGGTCATGACAACATGCTTAGGTGCGTCATGCTCAAAGGTACTGTGATACCTTCAGTAATATGCTGGCTCTCCAGAAGGCTGGTGTAAGTGTGAATATCTTTTTCTACCATCAAGAAGGAAGGCGGGCAGGCAAAAAGATAAAGCAGTCAGAAGAGTAGTGAACAAGGAATTATAGGAGCATTAGGTAACTCAGCAACACATCTGGTTGATTTGAACACCCAGGTAAGTTTATTAAGGTTAACATGCTGTACTGACTGAATATTGCACGGCTAGGCTGTCCGATTAGAAAATTCCAGCAGTGACACAGAGGTGTTGCTAAAGAACAATTATTAAAATTCCTGACCTTGTTTGTTCTCATTTCAGTGAAATCATATTCAAGTTCATCCTGAAATACTCTAAAATCTGGTAAGAGATGAGGCAGTAAGTAGCTGCCCTCTGATTCAGATGTCGCCAGTTTCATTTTGCCACCCCTTCATCTTGAATGAAATTAAGAAACCGCAGTCTAATTATTTACACCACCACCACCACCCCCCCCCAGTTTCTCTCTCACTCTCCTCACAATGGTTTGTACCAGCAGAAGAGAAATCTCAGCTGGATTCTGAAATGGAAGCTACCAAAGGCTAACAGTTCCCTCCTATGAGTTTTTGAATCAACAGATGTTTTTATTTAGCCAAGAGAAAGGATCAGAACAGATGATGACCACCTTTACTCGGGTTTAATTGAGAAGCTCTCCCATATTAGAGCTCTAAGGTAATTTCTCAGTTCTTAGGTTTTCCCCCAAATCCCAGTAGCCACACAGGGTTCCACACACTGCACGCTATTCTGAGAGCAGTTGTAACTAACATTACACCTAAGTTACCAATAACCTAGAAATGCACTGTCTAGCTCAAACAAGAATTACAGTTTCACATATTTTTTTTCTTAATAGTTAATTTGTATTCAATGAAAAAATTTACCTCCAGGAGTAAATCCCTCTGTAATTATCTGAACAGTTGAAATCTGTATAATTTCAATTTCATAGTGGCTGTCTCCATCCAAAATCAGGTATCTACGTAACAGAAGAAAAACATTTAAAAAAAAAAACTAACTGTTTTTTCTATGATATCAAGTCCAAATCAAAGGAAAAAAATAAACACAATCTCTCAGTGACTGGCTGTTTATATGTTCCTTGTGGTGGGGAGGGAGAGAAATCAAGCAGGAAGAATTACTTTTCATTGAAGTTCTTCACTTAAAGGAAAAAAAAACCAAACCATAAAACCTATAGTTCAATTTGCCTTTCAAAATATTAAAAGCATTCTTCCAAAGTTCTGGGGGAAGAAGAGAACACAGAGTCTGAAGTGTTCTAGCCAACGAAATTACAGGGATGACCAAAGCAATGCTTTGGCTGTAGCGTTAAACAATATGGTGCAGTGTTAGAATCATTCTGAAACAAGCCTTTTTCAGTCGCTACAGATTGTTCCCTGCCCCCCCTTCCTATGATCCCCCAATTAGCTGGCAAAACCACCGTATTCCAGTGGCACCAAGAGGCATTATCAGTGAGCGGAGCTCCACCGTTCTAAGGCATTACTCCTAGTAAATTCAAACCAACTTACTCCAATAAAGTTGCACCTATCCCTTCAGCCCGATTACTCTCTCCAATATCCTCACAGCATGTTACTCTTACATTTTGTTTAGGTTATTAGATAATAATATAGCTGTAAGTGCAACAATAACACAGTTTACAAGTGCAATTTCTATCAGTCTGTCTCACCTCTGATTATTGGAAAGTCGACAAACCATGAGCTCAGATTTGTCAGATGTTCCCAGAGTTACAAAGAATGTAGCACCTGGAAAGAAATGTTTTAGTATACTAATGCAGAGTTTAGGAAGGAACATTCAAGTATCAAAAAGGATAACTAATTTTTACTTACTGCACCTAATACACTGAATTGGGTGAATCAAGAGACTAATTGAAATGTTAAACTGATTAACATCAGCAGAAGACACAAGTACAAAAAGCTGATCTTTAATTATCATGTTCTGAGTCACAGGACCTTTCACAATTGCTATGTAATTTCTCCCACATGTTGTAGAAACATAGATGATATCTAAGATGAATCTTTTAAAAATGAGAACAGGTTTGGAGATGGCAAAAATAGGCAATTAAAGACCCTATCTCATCACTGTAATACACACTATTGTTTCAGTATTCAAAAAAAAAAAAATCTGTCAGAGGAATCTAATAGCAGGATGTGACCTTCAGCTCTATGTTTAATAAATAGTAAAGACACCTCTTTTTCATTACTGAGGACTACCTCAGTCTTACTTTGAGGTCAATGAACTTCAGCCTTCATGTTATGTTTCTTCCTGCTCAAAACAGCTCCTTTGACATCGGGAAATTCATCTTAGCTACATTAGTGAAGTGATTCATAACTTAAAATAAAGCAGACTACATGCCTAACCACTTTATTTCCTCCATGCCTCACGCTCCCTGCATTACCTAATCCCAATACTGTTGGTCTGGGAAATGAAAAAAATAACAACATACAGCCCTGCTAAATGGTCTGCAATCCATCTCCACGGTCTGAACCCTGCAGCCTCAGAGAGCTTCACCTCGCTGTCTATTTCACAGTTGTACACAGTCTCACTGACCCCTCAGCACGGACCCCCAGGCTGCTGCTGAAGCGAGAGAGAGGGGCAACAGCAGCAGAACTGCAAAGGGCATCACAAGCACCATCTCTCTGACTGAAATCCGCAGCTCTACAGTAAGTCAGGAACAACTTCAGACTTGAACTGCATAACACAAATGCAAGCCGGATGAGCTTTTAAAAAAAAAAAAATATTCAGTTTAAAATACATTACTTAAAACCTCATGTACACCTTCATCTGCAGAGCAGAGTGAAGAATGATTTGTGTGTTACAGGGATGAGCATACTCCTTTCTGAACCTAGAATCCCCCCTAGGAACATTCACGCTAATCAGACGTGTGGTTTAGCTCACTGATTATACACATTGACATCATGCTGAGAGTTGAGAGCCCATCAAAAGGCACTGAACAGTCACAGAATATTTTAAAAACTGAAGACTCAGCTTTCTTAATGTAACTGGAACACGAATTACTGTATTGCACGTAGTTTTAATGCTACACAAAATGGACCACTCACGACGATCTGCCATCAACCACAGCTGTAGGCCATAGACAAGCTCAAAGCTCACACATGAAGCTTGAAACAAGCACTGCATCTTGTTAGAAAACAGTAAAATATTCTCTATTCTTAAGTATTTTTCATCCTTATTTTATGTCACAGGAATCTGGCTAAAAGATGCATTATTTTAAGAAAAATGCAAACTGCACACACATCTGTTCTCAGAGGTGTTAAAAATTCCTTTGTCTTTAATTAAATCACTCTTTGTAAACATTGACTAAAAAGCGTAAACTTCTCTCTGAATAAACGGATAACAGAATTATTAACTGGCAAACAAGAAGCATGGCAACAAAGTAGTATTTAAGGGAGATGAAACTGCAGGTTGTTTGACACGAGGCATTACTCTTGCTGTTCATCACATTTGTTCAACACCGCATTTGAATAAATATAAATGAGATCAAACCAGCATATATATATATATATGCATTCAGTCCTTACCATTCATGAGCACTTTAAGCTGTTTGTCATAAAACTCTGTTTCTTTCTGAGAGATGAGGGCACATTCAGCACACTGGCGCACAGGGTCCACAAAGCACATGCGAGGCAGAGGCACTTTTTTACTGCAGCACTTGTCACAGAAGCACTTTCCGCACCTTCGGCAGTGATGCTAAGCATGAGAGAACATTTTGTTTATTTGTTTACACAGGAAGCTATTGGGGAATAATTTGATAAAGCTACTACATCAAACATCCTCCTCCCCAAGAAACAGATCAGTTTCTCAGGTGTGAAACACACAAGTTGAGGGATAGGTAAAGGAAATTTAACTGCTGGAGTGGTAGAAAGAAACCTCTGAAGATTGAACTCAAAGGACTGAGTATAGTATGAGCAACAGCACTACAAGCCTAAGTTGGCACTCTGTAAACGTGCTTCTGAAGCAGACCAGAGAAGACCCTGAAAGGGCTTCTCCAGTGTCCAGTAAATCCTTCACCTTACTGTCAATAAAAACCACAAGAGAAGACTGGTTTCTAGATCCCTTCCCACTTCCAAGCAAAGATCTTGGGAAACTTCAACAGGAGATCCTATTCTTCTCCCTTAAAACTTATTCTCAGGTTTTTCCAATGGAAACTTAAAACCTAAAGCTATTTCCCTATCAGAAATATCAGGCAGCATAGTACAAATCCAATGAAGTTGCAAAATCAGAACTAGTATTGCAATGTGTTTCACAGCTGCTAAATCTGCAACAAGTGGCTTGTGCCACAAATCCCTATTGGGGTGCGACAGTCCCCGCAGGTCTTCCTGACACAAGCTGTCATGTCAGAACAAGTATTCCTTGGCAAGCAGGAACCGATTTGTGGCTCAAAGGACGTTTGAACAGTTTGATACAAGGAACTAATACACTGCAGTTTTGGTCAGCGTTAGGCTTTCCTTCCAAGTATTATGCAACGTTCTCTGGAGTACCTATTTCCCAGGGCTACCTCCATTTACTTCCCAATGCTACCACAAGCGAAACACAGCAGCCTAATGAGTTGGTGCTTCTCAATCAAAATGCTCCAAACCAACCAACAACCATGCTCTTAACCCATCCAACTAAAGGGTAAAACAAGAACTAGGAGAAAGTACGCTCCATGATTTAGGAGTACTAGGATCACAAACTGACACAGGCAGTAAATTGACCATGTCAATGCACTACAAGTCATACTTCCACATCTTTCTTCACTTTCACAAGCGCATGCTAAGAGAGTGTAATGTAGTTATACAAAGGAATGATATTCCCTGCCAAAAATCATTGTTGCCCTTTTTTAGGAGGCTGCTTTCCTTCTCCATGCAGAAACCCCAGTATCAGCAGAAGGTTTTCCGACAGTAGTATTCCATACACCAGCATGCATTCCACAGTGACCTGCTTACTTTTATGTAATGAACATAATTTAACTCTAATGTTAGTGTTTTCTCTTCATACAGTAAGCCTATTTATGGCTCATATCAATCAAGGCGGTTTATACTTTCTACTTCAATCAGAAATTCCCTTTTCCAAACACGAGATAAATCCTGTTTTACTTTTAGAACAGAAGGAGAATCTGAGTTTTGGTTCTCTGCATTTTAACAATATGGTTCTTTAATGTAAGATTATATTTCATTACTCCTGAAAACATTTTTGCTTGCATTTCCACAAGTAATTTTATCTCCCAAAACACAACTGAATTAGTTGATTTGGTTTCTATGTCAGTACTGACGTTAGCAGCCCACTCCAGCATGAGTTCCTCTAATTCTTCCTTTGAATGTAAATCCTGTGGGTACCCAGTAATTTGGAAAAACCCTAACTATGTATTACACATTGAGCAACAAGAAGAATTTCAAAGAGACAGAACTAAAACAAAAAGGACCTCTACTCAGAAAAGGCAGAACAGAAAGAAAAACTACTTTAAGTTACATCAGACTTCGCATGCTATTCTACTGAACTCTTCTACATTTTAAATCAAAAGAAGGCTATACCAGTATTTTGCAACAGTTAATGCTTTACATTTCATTGATTTCTCTTACCTTTCTAGTTATGAAGTCAAATTTCGTATCACACTGCATACATCTTGGGCACTAGAAAACAGTACAAATTAAGATTAATCTACAAGATTTCTAAACCTTTAATCCTCCTACTGTATACAAAGACTGAGTTTTATATTATGCCCTAAAAAGAAACACCTCCAACAAATTTCCACCCTTTCTCTTTTCACCATGGAAGGTTTTAATTTATTTTAATATTGACGTAGCAAAATAATATCATCCCCATCTGTAAGACAAAAAAAGCTGCCAAACTCATTCACCCTAACAAATACTGCATCTTGCCAGCAGTCAAGACTACATTTCAGAAGTAATACTTAATTATGTTTGGCTATCCAGACAGTCATATGTTCCAGAGTCGACTGTTTTTATGTAAGTTGTTATCCTCATTGCATTATACTGTGATGCTCTGTTGACTCTCTAAAACATTGTTTACTTATTTTAATACTCTCAATACTTACGCACTTTTGAAACATGCTAGGAGATATTTGGTTTTCTTCCAAGCCACTAAGACTTAATTTTTATTCCAGCTACAAAATGTCACTTCCTGAAATATCTCTTTCCTGAAACAAGCTTACACCCACACTCCTCCCAAAAGAAAAGCCAGAAAAAAACTGAAGAAGTTTCCCTCTCGCAACTAAGTAGAGTTTAAGGGGTGATAGTTTTGATTTTCTAAACTAGCAGAAGTGATCAGTGATTGTTACGACAATTAAAATTTTCTATGCAGAAAGTCACCCACCAAAGGGCTGATACTCAGCACTTGGATCACTAGATTTTCACCACAACTTTACGTATTTTTATCCACCATATCAAAAACCACTCTCCAATTGCTCATAAAGTAATTTTTGTTAATTTATTTGCAAATATTAATGCAAAATTATGCCTGACATCTGAATCAGGAGAACACGGTTATATCCTGTAGTTAAGTTTTATAAGTCTAGAAACCTAAACTCTTCAAACCAGACTATCTCAGACTACAGCAGAATGTCATCTTAAAAGCATGCCCCAAGCTGAGCAGGTGTTATTTGCTAAGCACGCAGTAATGATCGTTTGCCTTTAATCAACACATTGCAATACTTAACCCTTTATCTTCTATAAATTCTTTCAGGTTACAACAGCTTTTGTCGTCCATTTCGGGGACTTTTGCTTCAGCAGTTACCCAACCACTGTCACAAGTTCAATAACTATAGCCAAGAAAATATTACAGCAGCTAAATTAAAAATTCTCTAGAAACTTTTCATGGTTTTTTGAAGTACAAGATTGTTAATAATTTGCAACAGTTTATATGAAGTGTTCTGATGGCTAAACAAAAGTTTAACAAATAGAGAGTAACTGCAGTCACTGTAATGGAACATAAATAGCTACTTGCAGTATTTGTTACAATAAGCTATCTGCTTCTAAATCCCACACAAAAGAGAACTAGAAGTGTTCCTGTAGTGTTTCTAACAGCATACTGAATTAAGGCATCCAATCACCTCTTCTCACAATGGCTGTAGAAAAGCTTATTCTAGCATTCACGGATGAATAACCTTCAGCACAAAGTAACTTCAGTATTCCCCAGGTTCCATCTCTGTAACAAGTAGTACTCTACAGATAATACCACATTTTACTCTATACTGATCTTGATTTAGTGTTTTAATTTTTGACATGTGTAGCTTAATAGCTTGTCTGGGAGCAGGACCCAGCAAGAATTTTTGTATACTTTGAATTTACCAGGAGTCTAACTCATTTTCTTAAAGAAAACATGTTGGGGTTTTTTTTTGTCAGAAATTAGGAAGCACAAGCCACAAACTAGGGGAAAAAACCCACTCTTCTAAATACCGTCCTAAATAGATTTCATACACAATGTTACGCTAAACATACAAGTCGCTTTTCAGGAAGGAACAAAGTTATCCATTCTCTCTTATTTAATACAAACTCTATAGAAAAATATTTCTGAATTCCAAACCTATCATGATAGCACTGCTCGATACAAAGAGCAGTCATAAATAAACCACAAGTCAAATGGCATATGGTAGTAGGCACTGCAGAATGGGATTTTCCTACAAAAATGTTCTAACACAAGTATGCTCAATACACTGTTCCTTCAAGGCACTTCTGCTTTAAGTAACCAAGATCAAATGAACCCACTTGCATAATATCAACTACTTTGCCTGGGAAGACATGGCTGTTGAAAAACGTCTTGAAAGGTGAATCCTTCCTATTCATCCATACGCTGACATAATTAGAGAGTGCATGAGTACTGAATTAAGCTTTATAGCTTTAAGGGGTTTTTTTTAATCACATTTACAGAGAAGAAAGCATGATGTTTGAGTTACTTTTTGCGTCTTCAAGACACAGGCTTTTTAAAACTAGTGCAAATCTGAGTTTTTTGGAAAGTGGAAACAAAAAGATATTAAATAAGAAATTAAATTAAAATGCATGTCATTAGTATATTCATTTCACATACAATCAACATACCACTAATATCAGATTACTTCATATAGCAAGAGGAAAATGGAAGAACATCCAACAGTTGTTGGATCTCGTTATTCATTTGAAATACTGAGAGCTAGTTCACGTGCTCATCAAATCACACCTGACCAAAACAGCTGATGCCAGAGTGGAAAACAACACAATGCAAACGTACCGCAGATGGGGCTTACGATGCTTTCTGATATTACAACCGTACAGGGCCAATTCATTGCCTGAGCTACACAAGTTTGCCAGCAGTCTGAGCGCAGCTCTGTCGCACAGCTAGCGCCGACTCTTGAGAGCCTGAGCCAACAGAGGACCCAGCTGCATAAAGCTCAGTTCCCTCCCGCAGTGATCCGGGAGCCCTAGGGAATCACTGTCACCGCATCCGTATGCTCCTCTCGCACACCCCAGCTCTGAGGCACGCAGCGTTCCTCAGCCCCATGAAGATCTGGTACACAGCTGGATGTCACGAGGTTTGGCCACCTCTGCATTCCAACATACCAATTTTGCTCAATTTCTAGTCCAAGATTTCCTTAATAGGAACATCATCAGTTGAGCTCTGCTGGTGATTAACAAAGAAATTCCAGGTTACACAAGGCACATGCAGTAACCAACATTTTAAGCTCTGTCTCAAGTTTAATGATGCTCAGCACAAACTTTCATAATATTATCCACCTCAACCCATTATTTATAATATATAAATAAGACTACCAAAGTTTTCTGTAGTTCTGCTTCACTCTTACACTTCAAACTCCTCAAAATAACTGATATTTTAAGACTGTATAGTCTTGTGACATAAAATTTAAAAGTTGAAATATATTTCAATGTCACCTAAGTTTCGCAAAACTGCTAACTACCGTAATTTTTAGGTGGCTTTACTTTTAAAAAAATAAGCCACTAGACTCTTCCTGTGTAAGAAAAATAAAGATACTTAATTTGTGAGTGTTACTGGCTGCACAGCAGAAGCCAGCATATTTGAAAAGCCAGATCAAAATTTGCTAATACCAGTCTCGTCTTGGACAAAGAACACGTTTTTTTTAATTATAACTGAGCAAGTGTTCTTGGTGAATGCATTAACTATATAACACTGCCTCTTTAAATTTCATTGTATTAATAAAAACAGGGGTTTTATAAGCTTCCCTGTATATCATGTACCTGCTTTATTTAAGGAAAAAGTTTGTAACGTATTTGGTAACCATTAACTGAAGGGATGTCAGAATTTTAATACACTTTAAGAAATTTAGTAAAATAACTTTTTACAAAATAACAATAATGCAAGATTAAGAATATGAATTAACAAATGCATTTAAAATGTTTGCCTATAACACATTTCCTCTCAACAGCAAGTATCACTGAGTCTGATGCAAAGGCAACATTCAGCCACAAATCAACACCATCACCTAGACCAATAGACTACACGGGAAAAGTTGAATTTTAAGGAGAATGAATAACTGCAGTACAACTGTAATATAGAATTCAAACTAACACCACACATCAGACATGTATCTAAAATATACAGACTTAATTCTTAAATATATCTAACCAGTTTAAATAAATCCTACCACAATCCTCAAACAACCTTTAGTTGAATTAAGATGGTACTATGTATTAGACTCAGTTAGAAGTATCTTACTTTTTAAAATGAAGCTAGTCTGCTATAACCAAGGACTACTGAAATATAAAACTACATTTGTCCCCCACAACAGCCTTCTCTCTAAACTGGAGAGGTATGGATTTGATGGGTGGACTGTCCGGTGGGTGAGGAATTGGTTAGATGGTCGCATCCAGAGGGTACTGGTCAACAGCTCAACGTCCAGATGGAGATTGGTGACGAGTGGCGTCCCGCAGGGGCCTGTCTTGGGACCGGTACTGTTTAATATCTTCATCAATGACATAGACAGGGGGATCGAGTGCACCCTCAGCAAGTTTGCAGATGACACCAAGCCGAGTGGTGCAGTTGACACGCCAGAGGGATGGGATGCCATCCAGAGGGACCTGGACAAGCTTGAGAAGTGGGCCCGTGTGAACCTCATGAGGTTTAACAAGGCCAAGGGCAAGGTCCTGCCCCTGGGTTGGGGCAACCCCCAGTATCAATCTAGGCTGGGGGATGAAGGGATTGAGAGCAGCCCTGCCCAGAAGGACTTGGGGGTACTGGTGGATGAAAAGCTGGACAGGAGCCAGCAATGTGCGCTCGCAGCCCAGAAGGCCAATCGTACCCTGGGCTGCATCAAAAGCAGCGTGGCCAGCAGGTCGAGGGAGGTGATTCTGCCCCTCTACTCTGCTCTGGTGAGACCCCACCTGGAGTACTGCGTCCAGCTCTGGAGCCCTCAGCATAAGAAAGACATGGACCTGCTGGAGCGGGTCCAGTGGAGGGCCACGAAAATGATCAGGGGGGTGGAACACCTCTCCTAAGAAGAAAGGCTGAGAGAGTTGGGGTTGTTCAGCCTAGAGAAGAGAAGGCTTTGGGGAGACCTTATTGCAGCCTGTCAGTACTTAAAGGGGGCTTATAAAAAAGATGGCGGCAAACTTTTTAGCAGGGCCTGTTGCGACAGGACAAGGGGGAATGGCTTTAAACTAAAGGGGGGTAGATTCAGACTAGATATAAGGAAGAAATTTTTGACGCTGAGGGTGGTGAAGCACTGGCCCAGGTTGCCCAGAGAGGTGGTGGATGCCCCATCCCTGGAAACATTCAAGGTCAGGTTGGCCGGGGCTCTGAGCAACCTGATGTAGTTGAAGATGTCCCTGCCCACGGCAGGGGGGTTGGACTAGATGACCTTTAGAGGTCACTTCCAACCCAAACTATTCTATGATTCTATGATTTCAGAAGCTCAGGGAGAAAACTAATTTCAATGTAACTGTTACACAATTTATATCCACTGATGATTATGTCAGGAATCAGGTTTCCAGGTGGCGCAGGTCTGTGCACACAGGGCACAGCAAGTCACTGACGCAGCAAAGGCAGACTCCACTGGAGTGGAGTAAGTGGAAACCGCTTACACAATAACCGCTCAGACTTTGCTACATGCTCCCTGATAAGCACACACCCCATCCGCAACACACCCAGTGCCCCGCACCACACCACGTACGGTGCCAGCTGCGTGGGAGCCCCAGGAGCTGACCACCGACACCTTCAAATGACACCCAGCTCCGGTCACTGAAAACTGTGTGTTACCTACACTTCATATAAGACAGATACCCAGTTGCTACCGATGACAGGGAGGATTTTTTCAATTCTCTACATATGGAAGAGAATAACTTGGGAGAACTCCCACAAGATATTTTAGCAGGCTGCTTGTTTAAAATTAGTTGAAAAAGTCACTTTCCAAAAAAGGGTTGTTATTTTGGAGAAAACCAGCAACTGACTTACAAGTCATACAGCTTATGACAGTAAAGGTTAGTCGGAGCTGTAGAAGCTGTGCGAGCAGAGTGAGTCTCCAGATTTATTACTTTTACACAGAACTTTCTGCCTCAAGAGATGCCAGGTAGGGGCAAAATTTTCTTCCTCATTCCTAACCAAGGAGTACATAGCATTCCCATACAAAACAGACCAACCACGTCAGTGTCTGGCAAAGAATAGCTTTGTTTAATGACTCCCTGCTGAAATTCATATTGGCTCATCTAAAATAAATCTTAATTCCGGTCACAGTTAAATGCATTGGCATGCATCCACACCACTGAACACTGGCAATAAATAAACAAACAAACAATTGATTCCAAGTTGTATTAGCATCCAGCTGTAGGGACTGGTAACAAATAAGGCATATTACATGAAATTTAATATAACACCATGATCACATAGTTGACTTGAAAAGTATTTAAAGGCAAAGTTGACTGAAACGGTCTATGTTACTCAATACTCGTTTAACACCAAGAACATTCACACCGGGAGCCAGAAGGGCTGTTCTAACTTAGCCTTACTGCCTTAATACTTCGCATCTTTTTTTTTTTTTTTAAATCAACACGGTCTTCAGTACTACCTTTATAAGCATTTAAGGAGACAGCTCTACTAAACATTAATGCTGCATAGCTCGCTACGCTTTTAACTCATTAAGTTCCTCGCTAATTTTGGCGACAGGGCCACACATCCCCGAAGAATGAGCGACGGTCCTTCCTTTTCAGTCCATTAATCTAAGCAAAATAAAAAACTGTGGCTTACAACTGAGAAGCCGCACCCGGGCAGGCCTGCTTCACCGCCTGGTCAGTCTGGGAGGCGAGGCGAGGCGAGGCGAGCCTGCCCGGCGCTCCTCAGCACCGGGCGGGCCGGAGAGGCAGGCGGGCGAGCTCCCCGAGCA